AGATGTCATTAATATTTGTTGCCAGTTATCTTTGTCCATTTTCTTTCTTTATGGTATTTTTTTGAACATTTAATTTTTTTATAACTCATAAGTTTTTATTTTTATTTATTTATTTAATTTTATTTATATAAAACAGTGAAATGCATTACAATTCTTAATTTTAATGAAGTCCTGTTTATCTTTCCTTTTTATGGGAATTTTATCTTTCACATTTATGTCTTTAATCAGTATTCTGCTGTTTTCTTCTAATAATTCCTTATCTTATAAATCTTAAATCCATTATGAGTGGATATTTTTTTTTTTTCTTTTGAGGTACTGGGGATTAAACCCAGGAGCATTCTACCACTGAGTTCCATCCTCAGCCCTCTTTTTTATTTTTTGAGGCAGGGTCTCACTCAGTTGCTGGTGTTGAACTTGTGGTCCTCCTGCCTCAGGCTCCAGAGTGGCTAGTTTCTGTGTCTTCAGATGTCCACTGGAGCCTCAGAACTAAAGAGTCTGTATGTCTGTCCTTCTGTTGGAATTTTGCCATCTAATCATCTTGGTTGGGCCTACTATTACCGTAGAGAGTTGTAGGCCAGGCTGGATAGGGCTTCTTTTTTCCAGAAATAGTTGCTATTAGGATGATTTTTCACATCAAAGGCTGCCTGGGGCTGGGTAGTCAGAGGTGCAGACCTATGTGAGAGAGTCTGGTTGACAGGTGAGAGATGCCATGTTGGGATTTTGAAGCCCAGACCAGTTCCTTTGGGAGACTCAGGGAAGATTTACTGAAGACTCCACACGCCAGTAAATGCTGTGTGCTCAACTGCTAGGTAGGTGCTCAAGGGCTGAGTCGGGAGAGGGACTTAAGACCTCTAAAACACAGGTTCCTGCTGTCCCAGCTCATGGGAAGTTCTCTCACACTTCCTTTTCTGGTTCTGGGATTGAATCCAGGGGGTGCTCTACCACTAGCTATATCCCTAGCCCTTTTAAAATTTTTTATTTTGAGACAGGGTCTTCCTAAGTTGCTCAGACTGGCATCAAACTTGTGATCTTCTTGCCTCAGACTCCTGGGGTTGCTGGGATTACAGGTGGGTGTCCTTCAAATTTTAAGCGAGGCTGTAGCTGGTCCTCCTGTAGAAAGGGAAAGACAAGGAGAAAGATGAGGATCAGGTGAGCCTCTGCCCTGCCACAGAGCCTCCTGGAAGTCTGAGTGGCAGTTCCTTATCTTCCAAGCAACCTCCCTTTTCACAGCCCCCTTGAAGCTGCCACCCTCTTCCTCCATCTCCCACCAAACATTTCCCTGCCTGGCGGGCACTGCCTGGGTAAGGTGCATGATCTCAGTAGTACCTTTTTTTTCTTTTTTTTAAGTTGTAGATGGATACAATGCCTTTATTTTATGTGCTGAGGTTCAAACCCAGTGCCTCACTCTACCACTGAGCCACAACCTCAGTCTTCAGTATTACTCTTTTGAATAGTCCAAGGACACCAACACTGAGCCGTGAGGAGCAGATGATGCCACTTACTGCCACCCTGTGTGGTGCTGTGTGTGGACACTTGCCCATGTGCTTTAAGTGTAGGATATCTGCTTGCTAATGAGTCTGCTGGGCTGGATGTGGTGATATGGTTCGTGCATTCCCTGAGTACCTACTTGGCCTCAGGTCGTATTCCTCTCCTAGGGTACAAAAATGGATAGAACAATAGTCCCAGCCTTCAGGACCCACACATTTTTCTGGGAAGACCAGACAGTGAGCAGACCTTCCCGGTGCAGTGGGACTGTGCTCTGGCAGGGGGAGGACAGGCTGGGAGGACTGCTCCATGGGAAGGAAGCGCAAGAGACTTCCGGGTTTGGCTATAGAGTGGATGTTGGTGCCATTCACTGAGACAGATGCAGGAGGAGTTGAGGGGAAGCAAAGAGTTAAGTTTAGGGCCCACTGAGCCTGACTGTCATGCTGTGGGATAGCAGGTACACATGTCCAAATGAGTGAAATATCTGGATGTGGAACTTGAAGTTCAAAGTAGAGGGCAGCTTTAGGAGCCACCAAGTATGAGGTGCTCTAGGTCACACAAGTAGATGAGGTATGAGGGGGATGGGAAACAAAAGAATAGAGGATCAAAGAGGGAACCCTCACATACCCCCATCTACTAGATAGTCCTAGGAACATCAGAAAGGGCGCCAGAGACCGAGGGTGGTGATGCAGGCCTATAATCCCAGTGGTTCAGGAGGCCGAGGCAAGAGGATTGTGAGTTCAAAGCCAGCATCAGCAAAAGCGAGGCACTAAGCAACTCAGTAAGACCCTGTCTCTAATAAAATACAAAATAGGGCTGGGGATATAGCTCAGTGACCAAGTGCCCCTGAGTTTAATCCCTAGTACCCCCCCCAAAAAAAAAAGAAAAGGCAAAAAAAATAAAAAGAGACCAGAGTAGAAGAAAATAGAGGACCAAATGGTGTCACTGAAGCTGAGTCTTCTAAAGGCAGAACGGCTCAGCTGGGTGCACAGCAGAACTATAGGCTGATGTTAGGTCATTCGTGTGTCTTCCTGTCTGTTTTGATCAGTGTACCCGGGCTGCCTACCTCCGAAGGCTTAGCTGGAAGGAGGTGTCCTGACTTGGCACCTTGGGAGTGGGGCCAACCATGAGGATGCACAGACCAGCCAGGATCATGCAGGTGGGCACAGCACCGATGAGGACTTTGAGGGTGACCACTACTTCCTCTGTCTGCTTGCAGGCTCCTGCCTTATATCCTGCAAACCTGGAGAAATACCACCCCACCCCAACAGTCATATCCTTCAGAGCCTGGGTAGGGGGCTCACAGATACCTACCCCCACACTCTCCTGAAATGTGACTTAATATTTCCTGGCCAGATCAGCCTAATGGTGGAGGAGGGAATGTCGAGGAGAGCAGGAATGAGTGCCAAAGGAGCCAAGAAGACTGGCAGCAGGGGCTTGGGAGGTGGTACAGACTCTAAGAAAGGCTCCAAGTCATGTGCACCAGGTTCCCCACACTCTCTATGGGTAGCCCCTAGTTGGGAAGAGAGGGGGATTTGCCCTCTTCCCACTGTTTTTTTGTGCCTCTGGTATACCCAGCCCTGGACTGACTGCAGACTGAGGGTGGAGATGCCCAAGGCGCCAGCGCTTGAAAGTTTGGTGAAGAAAACATAGGATGCATAGAAGATCGTCTCTAGACCAGGGCCGTGCCGGTGCTGCAGCTGGAAATCATCCACCACATCTGGCAGAATGGACCTGGGAACAGGTGCATGGAGTTAGCACTCTTCATCCCCTTGACAGCAGCAGCCTATGGGCTCTCTGGAGACAAATGTGTCAGTCTTCTGTGCTCAAAACCAGGACAGACCCCCAGAGAGCCAGCAGTTTGTGTGCTTGTATTCCCCACCCCCACCATTCTCGCCATTGGTGCCCTTTAGGAGGATTCTAAGGAGGGAACCTGTGGCCTTTATCTCCTGCTCAGGGTGACCCAGGACAGCAGGTTGGCCCAAAGGAATGGATATCCCCCCTTCCCTTCACCCAGCCTACCATGGTAGCAGCAAGGACACAGCAGTGCTCACACCAGAGACAAAGGCCACAACATATGCCACAGGTGCTGTGGGCATAGCAGCCAGTAAGATTGCAAAAGGCACCATCATCTAGGGAGACAGACACACAGGCTGGTCCCTCCACCCACTACCTGGGCTTGTTCTTTCATTCCCACACTCTCTGCTCTTTGAGCCCTGGGCCTGGTCCACAGACACAAAGTCCAGACACAGATTGAGCCCTGCTGGCTTCAGGAAGCCCAGGCACGGTCACCTCCCCAGGCACCCCTAGCCTTCCTTCTCACTCACAAAGATCCCGAAGGCTGGTGTCCTCTTCCCAAATCTCTGGAGAACCCACTCCCACAAGGGGGTGCTCAGCACAGCTGAGACCTGTGGCAGACAGCAGCATCACAGCAAGGCCCTGCAGCCAGCACTCAACCCAGCACCTCAAAGCCCAACCATGATCTTGCCCCTGGTTTGAATTAGCAGCTATTAACCTCGACTCTGCTCCCAGTTCCACCCTCTACTGTAGGTGACTAAGACCAAAGCCAACTACAGAATGTTGACCATTAGAACAATGGCCACACATCCCCAGCTCAGGGCCTTAGGTGCCCTGGCCTTCACCACCCAGGTCCCCTCACCAGGATGATGAGCACCAAGTTTTGGACGTGGTCGTGGAGCCGGGAGGCATGAGTACAGAACAGGACCAGGTAGCTCTGCTCCACCTGAGGCGGTGAACGGGAGGTGGGCATATGCAGGGAATGGCAGAAACTCAGAAATCAGGGGCAGGGACAGGGTCTCAAGTCTGGCCTCTTTGGGATCTTGAGCTCAGATCACTGTCAGCATCATGCAGTCACCCCACAAAAGAAGCTTTTCCCCAACAGACAGAAGCACTATTCCTAGTTTATCATCACCCCCTGCACAGCTAAGACCAGTTAGACTTGACTAAACTTCAGGTAACATAAGAGAAAACCACCCCAGACACTGTCAGCTTCCTAGGGCTTAAGGCCCCCAATCTCCACCTGACTCTTTTCCCAGCACATTTCTCTGAGCCGAAGACCCACCCCAGGTTCCCCCCTACAAAACTCAAGCCGAAAGACTGAACTCTGGACCTATGCAAGAGAGGGGGATCAGGTGGCCAGAGATACCTGAACAGCAGTTGAGATGAACAGGAAGGAGACCACTAGCTTCAGATAGGGTGGGTGCCGGGCAGTGAGGCCCAGCCCAGCCAGGAAGCCCAGGCCTTGGCCTGAAGCAGAGGCAGAAGGATCTGCAACACAGGAAGGTGACATCTTGGCTTGGTAGGATTCAACACCAAAACCCACCCCCAAGAGGAGTCCTGCTTCCAGTTCTGGCCTCCCATTTCCTCACAGTGCCTCCATACCTGGCTGCTCCTTCACCCCTAGGCAGAGCAAACCACTGCAAACGTGGTAAGTCACCACCACCACAGCGGCTGCAATGGAGTAGAGACGAGTCTGTGGGACAGGACAGAACTGGGCTGAGGGTGATGTCTCCAACCCAGGGAGGCAGGGCCAGAGTACTTCCCAGTGGAGCAGAGGAACCTCAGCTCAAGCCCCAGGTGCTGGGTCCCTCTCTTCCATATCACTCAGAGGTAGGTCTAAGGGCCCAGAATGGTCCTTCACACACATCCAGTTCTGCTGACCCTGTGCTTCCTGCCTGGAAAGGAGGCATTGATGCCACCAGAGGTCAGAGCATTCACTTTCTCATTTCACTTAGCAAACATACATTGCCAATGACGTCTGCATGCTAGACCCTGAGGTTATGATGATGAATAAGTGACCTGGCCCATCCATGATAGGGGACTGTGTGTGTGACAGATCTGTGGGTAGACATTTATAGCAGTGTGACACACAATGACCCAGATGAACAAAACAGAACAGCACTACCTATTCAGGGGAAATACATAGGTAATAAAAATTGCCCTGGAAGGGGAGGGTGGGGTAGCTCTCCCAGGTGCAGTGCATACAGTTCAGCAGGGTACTGTGCTTGGAGTTTAATGCTCTCTTGTCATGGTCTTGAGAAGCTTGATAATTAAATTTTTTTTTTGTAATTGTAGATGGACAGATGCCTTTATTTTATTTATTTTTATGTGGTGCTAAAGATTGAACCCAGTGCCTCACACATTAGGCAAGCGCTAGGCAAGCACTCTGCCACTAAGCTATAGCCCCAGCCTGAAAGCTTGATAATTTTATCTGTGAATTTGTATTGATAAGTGAAGTCTGATGGGACAACAGAATGTGAGCTACCAAGAGTTTTGGCCTCTGCTAACATGAGCATCCACCTCTGCAGATGGGTTCTCAGCCTGTTGCTCTTACTCCTTATAAATAGGAAATACTAATTTAAAAGCAAACAAAAATACCAACATGAAAGGGTTCAGAGAACATAAAGAGGAGCCCCATAGCCAAGCCTGAGGAGGGGTGGGCTGTACCTAATCCTGAAGACAAGGGCTACCCATATTCAAACTCTGAAAATGTTCCTTGATGGGAGGCTGAGGTAGGAGGATCTCAAGTTCAAGGACAGCCACAGTAACTTAGTGAGGCCCTAACACAAAATAAAAAAGGGCTGGGAATGTGGCCCCCAGGTTCAACCCCTAGTACCAAAAAAAAAAAAAAACCAAGAAAATGTCCCCTGACTCTGCTGCTGGGGCCAGTGGGGGCCTGGAGGAGGCTGATGTAGTAGCTGGGGTGGGGATGATGGGGACCTGGCCAGTGAATGGCAGGGCAACGTAGGCAAGCTGAACAGCTTCTAGGTTTGTGGCTGGAAAAGCAGACAGAGTTTGTAGTAGTTTGTATGGTTCAGAGGGAGGAGTAAAGGTTTGCCTAGGGTTCTGGAGGATAACAGTGTCATTTGCTTAAGGAAAAAGGGAAGGCATAGAAGATAAACATGATGGATAAAGTAGATGTGCATCCCCTAATTGCTGAGGAAGGACCTACTCTAAGGAGAGAGGAAGAAGCTTGTTCCCCGTTTCCTTCTCGCTTCACACTGGGGTCAGCTGGTTGGGGTTGGGGTTGGGGTTGGGAAAGGGCCATAGGAGGACCATGAAAGCACAACAAACCCTTCTGCCCCCTCCCTGCTGTACACTTCCTGCCCCTTCCTGGTGTGCCCCTTCCTAGTGTGCCCCCTCAACAGTCCTTTGTCTGGTGGTAGCCTCCTCCCTCCAGGTGGCCTGCTGACCCACTGTTTTGTTTTATGATGAGCAAGAACCCAGGGTTTAGCAGAGGGCAGTGGGCCTGCACTTGGGACTCATGCACTTAGCTAGGGGAGCAGGGAAGGAATGAGGGTGCAGTGAGCCCCCTGCCTCAAAGATGAAGAGACAAGGTGTGGAGAAAAGTAGCCCTGGAGGAAGGAAGTAACTCCGCAGAGGGGATCCTGGCCACCTTGGACACTCACGGCATCCGGGGAGATAGCAGCAGGCACTGGGAGCTCAGTGTCCACACAGTGGTTGGACCGGTGGGCACCAGACACAATGAACCCATGGACAGTGGCTCCCATCAGTGTCCCCACCATCTCCATGGTCATCCCTGGAGACAGAGCATGTGCAAGGTGAGTGAGCCAGTAGCAGTTCCCAGGGCATCGTCCTCACCCAACCCCAGGGCTGCACTTACGGTATGCAGTAGCAGAATCCCGCTCCGTGGGACTGGGAGTGAGGAGCATAGTGAGCGCTGTGTAGGGCACCTGGAAGAACTGGGGAGGCCAGCAGAGCTCAAGATGGCCCTCACCATGCAGATCACCAAGTAGAACCCCCACTTTGCCACACAAAGGCCCACAGCCATCCCTCCCATCCTGGTACCTAGGAATCAATCTGCTATATGCATGCTGGTTACCTAAGCTCAGAGATAGGGGCTTAAAAGCAGGAGAGGGCACCTGGCCCAAGTAGGGACAGCAGAGCTAATTTTAAGTGTCTAGGCACTGGTGGGGAGGTGAGAGCAGTGTGGTCCCCAAGCCCCCAGTCCCAGGATTGGCCACAGCAGTGAGGTTTCTCAGAACCAGGGCAGGAAGGGAGGATACCTGCTTACCGTGGCCATAGCCTGGAACAGGCAGTAGAAGGTGGTATACCAGAGGCCACGCAGGCTGGTGAAGGGGGGCAGGAACCACAGGAAGAAGTAGGCCAGGGCGATGAAGGGTGTGCAGCCGAGCATCCTAAAAAGCACACAGTGAAGCACCTGCAGCACCAGGTTGGGGACACCCTTCTCTGCCCCTGGGGTTGCCCTGGGCTGGGGCTCTCAGAGTGGGAGCCATGGAGAGGGAAGCAAGGAGTAGAGTAGAGAGTTGGGGACGGGGCATTCATTGCCGGGACTCTGACTGGGGCACGTGGGTGCTCAATGGTGCCAGTCCCAGTTTAAGAGCACTGGGGCACAAGCCAGTTGCACTTCCTCTGAGACCTTCCCTGGCTTCCACTGAGCCACAGGCCAGGTCTGGGAGCCTGAAGAGACTTGTCTAGTCCTATGTATGCCCTCTGCTAAGGAACAGCCCCCAAGAATGTCTCTGAACACGGCACACAGGCCGACCCCAGTGTACCAAACAGTCCAGTCTCATCCTCTAACCATTGGCAGGGTGTCCACTAACAAGCTGTGACCAATACCTCAGAGACAGGGGTAGGTGCCTGGATCCTAAAAACCAAAGGGCTGCTCACCAGGGCATAAGTCGTCCAGACCCTCTCCTCCTGCTTCTGTTGATGAAGAATCCAGCTACAGGGTCGGCAGCTGCCCCAGACACCTTCCCTCCAAACAGGACAAGTGACACGTAGGCAGCAGGAATCTGAAATCCATAGGGGAGGGGATTAAGAGCCAAGACCCAATAGAGCCAGAGAGGGTATCCAGGCTTGTCGGTCAGCAAGAAGGGGGACCTGGGAACATCTGGGGCTAAAGCCACAGTGGAAAATGCTGCTCAATGACCTCCTGCCCAAGAAACCAATCCAGAAGCTTCCAAAGGTACATCTGTGCTAGTGAAAAGGGTTGGGGAAGAAGCTGATTCCTGTGCATTGGCACTTTGCCATTATTACTGGGTCCAGTCACTTTTGGACAAAACTTGAGATGCCCTCACCTGGAGGTGGCTCCAAGCAAGAACGGTGCACCTAGGGTGATAGAGGTAGCCATTTTTCCACAGTAAAAATGTTTGTTTTTCTGACTATATAAATGATGCAGTCTTTAGAAGAACATTCAAGTAATCCAAACAATAAGCAAAATGCATCTGAAATCCCATCATCTTGAGACAATTGCCAAAAGCATTTTGAAAATCATCCTTTCATGCATTTATGTGCACCTGAAGTTATAAATTTTATCTAAATGGGATCAGATCTGTGTCATTTAAAAAAATCATGAGTACCTTGTTTTTTTTTTTTAAAAAACAGTTGTTCTTGCTTACCTTTTATCTTGCACCATTCCACCCTACAGCCAACATGAACAACCCGGTGCATATCCTTCTATAATTTTCTCTGCACTATTTTAATCACATACTGACACATGTATACTTATGCACACACGCGGTGCACATCTTTGTTTTGCTAAAATGGAGCCATTTTATATACTCTACAACTAGCTTTTCATTTTTGACAGTGAATCATGAAGTCCCTCCATGTCAACTGGTATAGATCTCTCTTGTGAATGGCTGCAAGCACAATAATTTTAATTATTTAATTTTAATTTTGTGGATTAATACCACTTACTTTCTAAGTAAGTGGCTTATATATTGTTGGGCATCCAACAATGTTTCTTATTTTAGCATTATAAACAGACTGCAGTAAACATCCTTGGGAGATTCACTAAATAGCATTTGGCTTTTTGTTAGGTTTGGATCAAAGGACTGTCATCAAGGATGGGAGGGTGAAGGACAAGTGGGCATGAAAGACCAGACAACCAAGGGGCCCCAGGCTACTGCCCAAACTCACCTGTGCCACATCAAGCAGGAACAGCTGTAGGTAAAAGGCTATGGCGCTGGAAGCTACCTGGTTGGGGATCCCACCAAAGCCATAGCACACCTTCGTACAGAATGAGAGGCGACCAGCTCTGCTGACCTGAGGAGACACAGTAAGTCATCCCTACCCAATCTGCGAGTCATAAAACATCTCCCCAAGCCCCCGTGACTTCCATGGGCATCCTTGAGTCCCTATGATGTTTTTTTAAAAAATACCTTGTTTTTATGTGGTGCTGAGGATTGAACCCACTGCCTTACACATGCAAGCAAGCATTTTACCACTAAGCCCCAGCCCCCTATGAGGTTTTGATGGTGTTTCTAGCAACCTCTTAGCTCCATCTTGTCCCAAAATGATCCTAATGGGAAGTGAGAGAGAATTTACAACAACAACAAAAAAATTTCTAAACCATGACCTCTAAACCTTTCCAGGGGGAAGTTCTTTCTTATATTTCCCCCCATACTTCCTGCTAGACCCTGCTTTAATTTATTGAATCAGCAATCAGAGTGGACTGTGAGTCAGGAGACTTGGGCTTGAGTCCCTTCTGTGCCACCTACTCTGTGTGTGACATTGAATAAATCACTCTCTCTTTTCAAGTCTTGTCTTCCTCATTGGCCAAATGTAATATCCTTGCCAATTTCACAAGGTTGTTTTGATCAGTGAATGAGGTGGGGGCTTTGAGAACTGAGGACTTCTGCAAGCTAGTTCTTGAACCCCTGAAATCAGCTATACTGAGGGTATTTACAAACATTATAATTCAGAGTCTCTAACTGCCTTTTCTCTTCCTGGAGAGACAGTTTTATCAGTCCATCACTGACAATGTTTATGAGCAGAGAGTGTATGTATCTATCCCACAAGCCCAGAGCTATCCAGGGAGCTCCTGAGGATTTGACTGCCTACCCACAATCTCCCAATGGACGCCTGATAAGCATGAGCCTAGTGTGGCTCCTGATTTCCATCCCACAGTCTAGACCAGCTCCTAACCCTGTTCCTATTGCATTAAATGGCACCAGTCTGCTTAGTGGCTCAGGCCACATCATTGATTCCTTTCCCCCCCCCCCCAGTTCCCCTGTCTAATCTATCATTGAGAGACTCGTAAGTGGCGTCTCCACTTCTGCATCTGTTCCTTACAACTTGACCTCCCATGAAACAGCTGATGTGGGTTTTTATATAGTCCAGTACTGGAAACTGGACCCAGGGGCACTCTAGTATTGAGTCACATCCCCCGCAAGTCACCTTTTTAAAAAATCTTGAGACAGGGTCTCACTAAGTTTCTGAGACTGGCCTCAAACTTACAGTCTTCTTGCCTCAGCCTCCAGAGTTGATAGGATTATAGGTGGGTGCCACTGTGCTTGGCTAGCCAGTGATTTTTAAAAACATAATTCAGATCATGTCTTCTCTGCTTAAAACCCTCCAAGAGCTTGCCATAACATCTTGAATGATGTTTTCACCATAGCCTGTAGAACCCGCGCTGATCAGCCCCCACTTCCCTATCCTCTTCACTTCAAATAGCCCTCCTTCAGCAGGAGCCAGGTCCACCTGACAGTCCAAATGACCAAGCCTGTTGCTGCCTCCGGGCCTTTGTACTTCCCATTTCTTTGCCTGTCTTCTGTGTCTTCCAAGAGCTGACTCCCTTTCATTCAGGTCTGAGTTTAAATGTCACCTCATCAGGCCTGGGGATGTAGCTAAGCTGTAAAGCATGAGGCGCAAAAAAGGAAGAAAAAAAAACTTGTAAATGTCACCCTTTATATTCCCTGACGACTCAAGTTTCTCAAGTGTACTGTTTGGTATATTTTCTATTTATTCCCTAACAGAATGTAAGCTCTCTGAGAGCACAAACTGTAACTCACCGTGGTATCTACAGTACCTAGAACAATGCTTGATATATGGTGAGTGTTCAATATATATTCTTGGAAGCAGTGAATGGCTAGCAACAATGGACACTATTTCTTGCAAAGATGTTGGGGCTCCTCTTTTCTCCTTTGCTTGGAGATAGGAGAGAATTGGAAGAAGTAGAGCTTGCCTATTTTGGTATCTTGAACAGTACAAGCAGGTTCTTCTGAAGGGAAGGTCGTCCCAGATAAAGGTTTATCATACCCTTTGCATA